ATATATAAATGGGATCTTAGATAAATGAATAAATAGACATATTTTATAATAGAAGTTATGAACTTTAAATGGAATACCTATTAGGAAAAAAACAATGCAACATAAAAATGTTTTATATGAAATAAAATGCACGTTAGACCTTGAAGGAATAGTTTGGTCATTTTAAAGTGGTGCTCAGTGTAAACATGAAAAGTTATCTTACCTGTTGTAAATACTGTAGCTTCTTGAATGACCTCAGTTTGTAGAACAGGTGTTTACATCTGACAGGACTGACAGACTAACATCTGGATTGAATGTAGGATAGTCCAAAGTTGACTGCTGCCGTTTTAAAATAGCTTCATTTTTCAAACATTGCAGCGATTCATGTGAATTCTGTGTAATAAACTGCAGCACAACTGTCAGCTTTGCATTACATGTTTATTCAGACGAGAGAAAAATCAAAGCAGCAGCATGATGATGATGTACTGTCAGGGTGTTCAGAGGTCGTGTCCAGCAGGAATTTCCTAATATTTCTGCTGTTATGCATATAATGCAAAATGTAAAGCTGTGTGCGTGTTTGAAAAAGGTATGTGCATGAACCACTATGGAACTTTGACGACTGGAGATGATGTCCAAATTAATACTTTAAAAAAGACTTTGGCATTATTAAACAGCTCAAGTCTTTAGGGGTTTATGCAGACGTTTGTGGTAAATCTGTACACAGCGTTACATTTTGCATCATTGTTTTAGCAAAACTATTTAGAAATTTCTGCCACATGTTACCTGTATGCCCTGGAAGTACTACAACTTCCTGCCACTGGTGCTGTTTATGCCTGTGATAAACAAATAATAAATTACATGTAAATACTAGCCTGGCCCTTGCCTTCCTACGCAGTTCCGCTCAATTCTAGTTTCCCTTCACTGCTCCGTCTGGGATTTCTCCCATAGACAAGGATTTCTTCGGGACAATTTCATTCGGGCCAATCAGAGAACAGAACGTYGATTTTCTGCACAGTGTCTGCTAGTTAGTTTAGCATACGGCAGTGGAGGAAGTGAATGAAGCCAGTCTGTTTTGATAAGGCTTACAAACTAAAATAAATTTGTCTGACAAAGCAGCAGCTCTCATTTACAGTCGTCTCGTTCGGCTCGGTACTTTTCTCCTCTCAGTAGGGTTGTTTACAGCGCACGMGATTTCTGGTTAGCTTCTTAGCTTAGCCTCCTTCACAGTGGAGCTGGCACTTGTGGCCAGCCGATCCAATCATTTTAAACTTCAGCAGAGGCCACGCCTCCAGCAAGAATCGCTTCTCTATAGCCGGGAGTCCAGACCCTCGAATGAAGCAAAGTGAAGGACAGGGATGTGGTTTTTACCAGGCTATGTAAATACTATTGTGATGTGAAACAAACAGCAATGTAAAGGTTTATAAAAGTGTTTACCTGAACCACTATGAAGTTTTGGTCTTTAGTTTGACTAGCCATTTGCTCATCAGTCTTGCTGGATGTAAACAAGGCTGTTCAAAATGTTATCCACAACTAATGAATTAACTATTTTTTTTAAATCTTTACACAGAAAACCGTTTCATAATGACCAAACTATTTATTTTAAACGCTTAGAAATGTGATGCATTTTCTTAATAAATACCTTTATTATGATGTAATTTTAAGTTTATTGAGTAGTAATTTATCTAATCATCTAAATCAACTGTTATAGGTGCTTATATAATCACTATTTCTTTTTAATTACAAAGTTTAAATGTTTTTAGTTGTCTACTTCAGAATCTTRCTGAGTTTGCGAACTATTCATTTATTTATTTTTTTACAATTTTTGGCTTACTTCTAAGAGTTAAAAAGGGCAACAAGACTTTGTTTTTGTTGTTTTGTTTTTCAAAGACATTTGACTTTATTCTAAAAAGCTGTAATTCAAACTGAACAGTGTGGAGCTTTAAGCAGTGCTCTGTTTCAATGATGCAAACTGAAACTCCCATGCAAATCACTCTCTCTTTCCTCCCTGTAGAGGTTTGGTAAAGTTTTACGCTGTGGTTCAGTTTGCACTGAGAAAGCAGTGAAACATCTCCAAGAAACCAGAAAACAAGTTCAGTCGCCTTCATTTAATTCTTAGGATTAACCGAACCCTGTGTTACTTAGAATTTACTGTACACCATTAAATCTTTAGACTAACAGGGTTTTTGAATGCTAGTCGTAAATAATGTTCTCAATGTGTAGAACCATCATAAAGTCACAAAAAGTGTTAAATCTTAAAAATATTGCCTATGCTTGCCTTGAACAATAAATGTTTTTAATTAAAAGTTTATATTGGCCCAAGGGGAAAAAAATCATAACTGCTGAACTTAAAGGGAGTTTTGCAGTTTAGGATTCTGGAAGTTATTGAAAGCGTACAGCAAGGATTTTGAAATAGATTTTGAATCAATTTTAAACTTTTCGTTTGATTCAGTGCAACAAAATAAACAAATCTATAAGGTAAAAGATAATAGTACTTGTTCTTTTACATAATGCAGTGTTTCCTTGCCCCCCATTGTCCAGCCCTTGACCTGTTGCTCGTAAGTAACTGTGTCCCCCTGAGCAGTTTAGCTGAATAGCCCTGCCATACAGCACTATTTTTAGATTAGTGCTGATGAAAAACATGCACTCTCAAAAGAGGATACATATAATGACAATAAAAGGTTACGAGCATTCATCAAGAAGCCGTATCTGTTAAACTGGTAAAGCTTTCAAAATTGAATACACTTGTCTCTTAAATGTGATTAACTTGCCAACCCAGTGCTGTCCAATCCTGGTCCTTGAGGTGCCAGTGTCCTCCATGTTTTGGATGTGTTTTTTTGCATAAACACACCTGATTAGAATAAAATGGCTGATTAACGGACAGAACTTGAACACAKGCTGAAGGGATAAGTCAATCATTGAATCGGGTGTGTTGGAGCAGGGAAACAAACACATACAAACCAGTGGCCTTTGATAACCAGGATGGGACACCTCTGTGCTACTACCTCTTTGGTATTTAGTTATCTCTTCATACCACTGCAACTTAAAACAAATCTAAGTTCAGGTAGATTCTGGCTTTTTTTTTTTTTCAATAAAATACAAGATGTCCTTATTTTACCTGCAGAGACATTTTCCCATCCCCCCCCCACACTCTAAATATGCATTCTTGCACTTTATATCTGGGCCAAACTGCTGAGTATCTTTGCCAATCACAGCTGTGCGAGCAGATTGCCAACCAGACAGGCGGCAGTGCGCGACAGCCAGGTCCAGCCTTGTCCCTGCCTAGCACAGACAGGACCTCTGTACCTCGCAGGCGCTTGCTCGCCCGGCCTCGCCCGGCCTCGGCTGTCCTGGACCTGCGGAGGCCCGTTCCGGATCGAGAGCTCCACACGCACTACAGCGAGGTCGGCTCGCTGCCGCGGCTGAGGCGCAGGCCGGCGGCCACCATCGTGCTGCACTCTCCGGGGCAGAGACGGATGGCGGCGCGCTCCAGGCCGTGCTCCGTCATAGAGAGCAGCGTTACTAGAGAGACGCAGTCCACGGAGCTGCACCACCCAGTAAGGATAAATAACACAAGCATTTACACATTATATAAAAAAAGTACACACAACTAAACCATATGATCCTGTAAAAATGTCTCCTCCTGGTGTTGGAAAAACCATGAAAGTAGGATGGCCGAGTCTCACAGTAGCCTCCACCAACTCGGTGATAAAAATAGAGCAAGCCCATAATGAATCAAACACACTCCAGAAGGGCAGTTCAGTTCTAACCCAGTATTTATATACCGCTCACTGTTAGTTGCAACAATGCCTGCATGCTCTGCCTCATTTACCGAGGCCTGCGCTCTCCAACRCTGCTTTCCCCCTGCGTTACTTTCCCTCTCTTTCCTTTCGCCTCCATCTCACTCGTTCCTCTCTTTCTCTTTCTACCTCCCGTGCTCCCAGTCCTTCTCTGTGGCCAATTTTCTGCCTCATCGCTCCCATAAGCTTTACCTCTCATTGCCTTAACTCAGAGTCACTTCATTTGAACCTGAGAGCATGCCTGCTTGGCATGATGTCTCTCTTGGTTTGCTGCGGAGCACGCACACCGGCCTGCGCACCAGAATAGAGTTGCTGGATGGGAAATACTTGAATTTACTGCAAAGAAAATGGGACATGGCAGTAAGGAAGACTTTTTTTAAAGGTGAAGGGCAGGAGAAAGTGTGCGTGCGTGCGTGCGTGCGTGTGTGTGTGTGTGTGTGTTCAACCTTGTGAGAGTTACAGTTGCAGCGTTTGGAGAACAGGAGATGTCCTAACTATTCAGTACCCCTCCAGGCCTTGTCTCGCCCCCCGGGAGTGTCACCACTTGAGCCCCCGCTCAGGGCTTCTCTGCAGCGGTGTCGCTCCCTGCCACTCACCCCCAACACCCTCACTGCCTTGGCACTGCTCCTGCCTCAGTCAGGTATTATTGAGTTTTTCTGTTCTGTTTGCATGAATATGTTAATTACAAGTTGATGTTTATACATATATACATTTGTGTTTGTTCTGTCTTTGTTTGTTTATGTCCGTCCAGTAGCCATGGGTCAGTCGTCATCGTCGGTGCGGCTGCGGTCTGGAGGCTCCGGCAGCTGCAGAAGAAGGAGGCTGCTGAGACCTGGGTCAGAGCCGCTCCAGGTCAACATAGTGAGTTAGACACACCCATTAAACCAACACACGCATATAAATACAGCTTTATGTGGTCGATGCATACCCCCCACTGTGCAGTGATATTACACTCGGGCACGTTCAGGCTCTGACGTCACTGTTCAGAAAAAAAAAATCAGAAAATACKAAGAAAAAAGCATTAGTGTGTGTTATTGTTTTATTTATTTCTTACAGTTTTATTTTTAATTTTCCATCGGATAATGAAAGAACTGATCCATGTCGAAGGTGCTCATGTGGAATAATGTCATGCTACACACTCCCGGGCCATTACTCATTCCGAGCCGGCCACACAAAAATCTCACATCGACGAAGCTGTGACATCGTTTCTTTTTTATTTTATTTTTTTGTAATTGCTCCCGACGCGCTCCGAGAACTGTTTACAAGTTTGCGTCTTTGTCAGCTGGGTAAAAATTAGCTGCAGTGTGTGCTGGAGTAACGCTACACAGGAAGTAAAATCCAGGCATTTCGGAGTTGATGCTTTGATGTGCTAGAGTCCTCTGGGACAGGGGAGGGGGCTCCAGTGGAAGGAGATGCAAAGTTGTTGTTTATATATATATATATATATATAGTTTTGTATATATATATATATATATATATATATATAATATCCCTGACAGGGTAGGAAATATTTCTGGGGCTGTGTCCAGCTTTTATACCTGCAGCACCTTAATGCACAGATGCTGCATTGTTTCTGAGTTACTTGATACTTTCTCCTTTGTTTCTTGCGCTGCTTTTATTCTGGAAGTGCAAACATGTTTCCTCATGCACAATCCAAGTCATGTTGTGTACCTTCTCTTACTAAAATTGAAAAGTGCATGTTCAGATGTGCTCAGTTTGTACAAAAGGAGCATTGTTGCCACTTAATTCCTCAGTGTTATTTATTAAAATGTCTCACCAGTAATTGTTTAATATCATCAAAAATTGTTAAATTGCCTACTATTAACAGCCAGCATTGTTTTTATGACAGTGATGCTATCTGTAAAACTGGCTGATTGTAGATTTTGTTTTTTGCATGTCTCAAACAAACAAAAAATAAAAAAATAAAAAAGTGTGTCCTTGAGGAAATGAGACTGCTGTCTTTTGACTTTGATTAGAACTTTTTCCTCCCTGATCTAAATTGTATTTGTGAACCGCCGCACGTTGTTGCTATGACATTCAGCTGGCTCCCGTTCAGCTTCCTGCTTCTATCTTTAGGCCGCCTTTTTAAGCATGAGCTAAATAGAGAAAGCGTGTGGGTGAAAGAGAGAAAACGGGGTGGGAGGGAAGGGAAGAGAGGAGAGAGAGAGAGAGAGAGAGAGAGAGATGCTCCCTTTGTCACGGCCCTCCCTTGGGGTTGGGAACGCGGACACGTAACACTAGAATATTCTTCTGTTGTTTGTAAGGCGAGGGGAGCTATTTTGTAGCTAAAGCATTGGGATTTAAATTAGATGAGGAGCAGATACTCTGAGTTTATTTATTACTATTATATTTATATAGACCGAAACTAACTGTGTAATTATTTAAACAAAATGGCACGGCGATATCACAACAAGATGGTGGGATAGCGATGCCTGCTGCCTCTCACATGGCTGTCATGCTCAGCTGAGCTGTTTGGGATCCAGTTTAGTGTTTGTTACAGTCTTCCTGTTATGATGATGACTGGAGACTTGAGGCCGCAGGCGGAGAGAAAGCGTTCTCACTGCAGTGGATTAGCTACTAATGCTGACGCCTCTTTTCTCCCTTTCATTTAAATGGATTTCCACCCCGCGCGCCCTCCTCACGTCTCCGTTTTTGCAGCAAAAAAAAAAAGAAGTGGGTCCWCTCTTCTTGTATCTACTTCCGTCCCGTCTCATTATAAACTCAAAAAGGAGATGTACTTCAGCCACAGCAGCCTTTAATTCTTATGCAGATGAGTTTTTTTTGTGTGTGTGTGAGTGTGTGTAGCCAATGCTGCGCTCAGAGCTCACCTGTCATCTTGTCCAGAATAAATAAAAAGCAGGTTTGTCTTATTGACGACTCTATGCATATTAGAAGTTTGAACTTAAATCTTATAAGATTAGCTTTGGGCCAACCGAGGACTTAAGTGGCAAAAATCATATTATGCAATAGGCTCTATTTATCATGAACGCATGAGTCAGCAGCCTGGTTGGCCAAACAAGAAGTGAAGGATGAAAAAAGGACAATTTTGAGTTGAAGGACTTATTTCCAAACGGTAGCAGCTCCTATGTCCTAACTGTTATTTTACCAAACATGCACGACGGTTTTATGTGGATGATACACCCTCTTCATAACACTTGGATCCACTCGTGCGCACTTCGCATGCTCCTAAGTTGTATTCAGGATTAATCTGTCAGGATGCATGAGTCACTGCCTTGACATCTTCATTATTTGGTGAGTAACGAAGAGCACCAGCTAGTGGTATCGCTGCCAAACACACACACATTGTGTGTGCCATTTTACCCGCGGCTTTATTTCGCAGAAGCCATGGGAATAGGTGTTCCTCAAAATAACTTTGTGCATGCACAGTTTGCACGGTGAACCACAGGTGACCCAGAATCCTTCATCGATGTTCATTCAGCATTGTTCACCTGCCAACGCGCCAACTGCTAAAGCTGTTTCGTAGCACACGTGAGCTCTGATTAATGGCACTGCCCCTGACTCAATCTTATGGGGATGGTTGTGTCAGAGCTTCCCTAGGCTGTTACTGCAAAAAAAAAAAAAAGGGATTTCTGTGTGTCAGGTGTGTGCACGCACATCTTGCAGCTGATGGTGCGTGTGTGCATTTCTGCTGAGTGTGTTTTTATGTGTGTTTGAGGAACAGGAGATGGGTTTTCTCTTATATAACTTTGGCTTCAGCGACTCCCTACAAAAGCCTCTTCCCGTTTTCAGCTGGCTGCGTGTTCCCTGGGACTAAAAGAGCTGTTCTCACTGGCATGTCCTGTTCTACAACATCTCGTCACTATACTCAGTATTTTGTCAGATCACGCTTGTTCAGACTTGTGCTTGTGCAGTTTATCTCTCACCTGGGCCAAATTATCATTCCGTAGATCACTTGCCAAATAGCAGAGACAGTAAAGAGGTTTTAACGATTATCACGAAAAGCAATCATTTTTTAAATAAAACAGTTTAAAGCAAGGCACCTGTGTAACCCAAGATAGTATTCTGAGTGCACTTTTCTGATCGTCAGTGTTCAACATTTTGTGAAACATACTGCTTTTTCATGGTCATTTGACAGATTATTAGGGATAAAGATATCTTTGGTTGTTAAGACAACATAGCCAGCATGTGATAGGTGCTGTAATAAGATCCCTTCCTGTCTGACAGCACTGTCTTATAGTGGAAACCCCACAGGCAAAATGTGCATCAGTTTTCTTTTTTTTTACAGAAAAAGTATGGGATTTCTATGTATGGAACACTTCTACTGGCAAAAAATTCATGTGCTTTTATTCGCTTTGCTTTTCTATTGAATGAAATCTAATAACGACCTCTAGATCACAGAGATGCAAGGCTAGCCACTGTATTTGAATCCACTCTACACTCTTCCCTACCTGCACCCTGAGCTACACCTTTTAAAATTTACATCTGACATAACTTCCCCTGAAACTTAGCAAGGCTTTCAGGCAACATTTGGCTCATTTCATAATAGGTATTGCTCTGGTATTTAATTTTTATCCTTTTTTTTAATAATCATGTTTTCTGTGAAACAAGATTAACTTATCTAGTTGATAGATATGTAAGTGTGTAAATACTCACTAAAATTTGGATGCCATTTTGTCAGCTTGCAGACCAGTTACGGGAATGTAAATGCTTCAATTTGCAAGGACTGGCAGATCTAGAATGGAGAGTATCACGTGGCAGTGTCATAAGTGAAAAGATGGTGTTATCAGGCAGTTGCTGGAGCGTCCAGTTGTCAGTCAAAACACGGCATGAAATGACGATATGGGAGTCATACAGTCATGAGTAAAGCTAATAGCATCTTGGTGAAACAGATGAGGTAGAAATGCTAGGTATTGTTAAAAAATATGCAGATAAAAAATCAAAAGATAGGTTGGACATGGATATGATGTTTGTTGTAGAGGATTTATTGAGTTCATTATTGGGACATTTACATATATGCAATTTATCATTTTCAACAGGAATATTTCCAGATAATATGAAAGTAGCTAAGATAATTCCTAGTTTTACCACTAAATCTGTAGGTCACACCATTCCTGCATTTTAAAAACCTAATACTAAAATATCAGAGTAAACA